TACATAGTACGATTTTCTCTTACATAATGAGATGCAGTATAAAATCTCAATAGAAAATTAGTATCCTAGGAAAGGATGATAAGTTTAACAAAACAAACAAAAACCCCAACCAAACAAAAGCACTTTACTTCAACTCTCCTTCAAACAGCAGTCCTTCCTAATACTCTTGAAACTGACTCGGTCCCTCCATTTATTTTTATTTATTTAAAAAAAAACAAAACCCAAAAAACCAAACACAAACTGGCAGCCTTGTTAGGTACAGCACCGCCCCATGGAACACCACAGTGTCTGTAGCCTTCACCTCCGTGAAGCAGTCGGCAGCAGAGAATTGTGGTTGATTATTTTTTGTAGTTATGGGGCATTGTGAAGCTCTGGAGATGCATTGCCACATGGTGCATCTCTAAATGTACAGATCAGCAGTGTGAGTCTATCGGCAGACCCGAGAGAGAAAGATGGACAGTCTCCCACTGAGATTTACAGTCTTGGAAACCAGCAGAGGGTCAGCTATGAGTCACACCTGATTCAGTGATGGTGTGTCTGGTAGTTAAGTTCTCATGGTGTCGTAGAAAGCGTGTGCTTCCAGCTCAGAGGTGGGTTCACAGGACAAAGATCAACAATCCCCACCAGAGTGATTTCTAGCCTTGGAAACCCAGTGAAAGGTCAACTATGAGTTGGTTTCCATTCAAAGGCCATCAGTGAGTTCTGCATTGGTTTTGTAGTCTACACTAATAACTAAGCCACCTTTAGGGGGCAGCAGAACATCAGATAAGACAGTGCCCAAGGCTGCCAGCCTTTCTGGCTTCATTACCCAGGCCTCTGGAGTCCTTGCTGCAGCATGCCCATGCTAGCAAAACTCATCCTTAGACCTTGCTAAGGTGGAGACCCTTGCTGCTAAGCCTCCTGTACCCTATTGTCTACACTCACTCTATGCTTCTGGTCTACTCTGTACTACCACAACAAATTGTTGAATGATGGCTTGTTTGCTTTTGTTTCACAACCAGGTATATACTTGTTTTCTTGGTAGAAGCAATGTCTCATGTCTTTGTGTTTCTCCTAATGTCAGGAATGCCCTGGAGTCCCTAATAAATGCTTGACAGCAGACTGAGATTCCATTTAACGGTACTTGATATGTTGACTATTACAGCTGCCAAGGTGGTCTTATATTTTGCACAGGAGGCAGTTGGTTATGGTGGGTTTTGGTTCTTTTAATTTTATTTTCCCTATTTGTTTTTTCAATTATTACATCTTCACATGCTGTGGTATACAGTAACTGTTTCAGAATGGGGTGGAAGGTGACTTTGGAAATACATATAGAGATAGCATGAAAAAATTGACATTGATGTGGAGATCTTTTTCCATCTGTCTCGCCCCCTTCCCACTCACAGATGAGTTGGACATAACTTGATGGTGATGAGCATTTCTGATTTTTGTTTTCCTTTCCAAGCTGTGTACCTTTTACATATTAACCTGTCATCCTCAATCTTCTCATCCATACAATGGAACCATCCAGGATGATCATATTAATTACTATCTAAACTGAAGTACATTGAGAACAAAGGAGGAATCCTTTTTAAACAAATTATTTAAAATAATCTTTTGAAACATTTCTTTATTGAAATAGGTTTTGATTTTGTTGTTGTTTGTATGCTTGTTATATTGTTCAGATCACACTGTTGGCCATATGTAGTTGGATGATTGAGGTTTTGTGGGTTGGTTGGTTGTGTTTTATTTGTTTACCTATAAAATGGCAGAGGGAACTCTGGAGGCCATAGACAGTTGTGCTGCTAACTCGAAGGCCACACCTCTCTGGTGGTTTGAGTCCACCAGTGACTCAGGAGGAAAATATCCTCTTACACAGTTTACAGCCTCGAACACCTGCTGAAGGGTCAGCTATGAGTCTGTTTCAACTCAATGACTATGAGTTTGAGTTAACAAAATTGTTCTAGTTAAAAATAAGCTAAACATAGAATTCCATATGACCATTCCACTGCTTGGAATATACCTTGAGAAAATGAGAACTGAGGCACAAATGGAGACTTGTACACTAATGTTCATAGCAGCACTATTCACCATTGCCAAAACATTGAAACAGCCCAAATGTCCAACCACAATTGAATGGATTAAGACATTATGATACATTCACTTGATGGAATACTATGCAGCCCACAGGAGCAGTGATTTTGTAAATCACTAGTTAGCTTGCAAGAGACTAGAGAGTATTATACTCATTGCAAGAACATGAATATAGTTGGATGTCCAACCACAATTGAATGTAGGAATGTAGAAACAATGATTTTGAAAATTACTACCTACTGAAGATTATCCAAAAATGACTGGAACAGCACATCAGCAGAGAATTGCCAGAAGTCCCGGCTGGGTTTAGAAGGAGTCATGGTACTAGGGATATTGTAGCTGATGTTAGATGGATCTTAGCTGAAAACAGGGAATACGAGAGGAATGTTTATCTGTGTTTCATTGACTATGCAAAGGCATTTGACTGTGTGGATCATAACAAATTGTGGCTGATTTTGAGAAGAATGGGAATCCCAGAACACTTGATCATTCTAATGCAAAACCTATACTTGGACCA